ACACACACACACACACACACACACACACACACACACGCGCGCACACTAGCAAAACTACCTGACTTTGCTTGGGTTATTAGGTTGATAATGTGTGTATTCTGAACCCATTTTAACATATGCATAATCTATATGCATTGTTACCAAAACACACGTGGATAAAATAAGAAATACCCAGGTGCACACCCTCAGGGTCCACTTGGTATGGGTGCAAAATTTCAGTTTTCTAGGTTCTTTCCTTTTGGACCTACGGCAGTCTCACACACTTTTATTATTATAGATGTGTATGTTATATTACTAACACTTTTAATTCATGCAGGTGGAAAGATTAAGAATCAAAACATTTCAGCATATTATTTTGCATTCTTAAGAAATGAAAATTAAGGGCTTTTTTTTTTCCTCCTTTAGTATGGTGGAAATCCTGTTTCAATTGCCATTGCAAATGCAGTTTTGGATGTTATTGAAAAGGAACACTTGATGGAAAATGCTTCAAAAGTTGGCACACATTTGTTGAAATCCTTAATGGAATTGAAGTCCAGGCATCCTATAATTGGAGATGTCAGGTGAATATTATAATTATTTGTACTTCAGAACTACCTATTACCTTATTTCACTTTAGTACTAATTGTTTTGTTCCTTGTTCTATCTTAATAAATGTTACTTGAGAGGTCTTTGTTTGTAAGAAGAATGTCTTTAGCTCTAGAATAAATATTTGGGTTGCTAGTTGTGTCTTGCAGTTGTACCAATGTTTTAACTTTATGGTAACAGTACATTAATTGAAATCTAAATTTTTATGGTGAAGATGGTAAACTAAAATTGTGAAATATCTTGATGCTGCATTTTTAGCTTTCATGCATAGGCAGCTAAATATAGACTTTTATGTTACTCTTATTTTGTGGAAAACAAAAGGTGAAAGAAATGAATTATACTGTCTAATAAATGATCTTGCAAAACAGCAGCAATTCATTAATTCATGTAATCAGATTTGTATGACATCTGAACAGGGGGATTGGGTTCTTCATTGGAGTGGAGTTGGTTACTTGTCAATCTACAAAAACACCTGGGACAGAAGAAGCATGCTACGTCATCAGAAGGTAAACAAATTCACCTGCATAAGTTACAAAAAATTCATTATCCTGAATGTCAGAATTGTAGTCCTTTAAAGACAAAATTGAACTTTGGTGGTGGTAATCTAAATATGATTTTTTTTTTTTTTAAATACATTTTCTATTAACTTGGCAAAGATTGGAAAATAAGCATTTGTAAAGAGTAGGCAAAAAAATTCTTTACTTAAATAAGGGTTTTCTTGCACCATGAAAATTTTGAAGCCATAACATTTTAAAAGAACTGGAAAAACAATATTGGTAAATTGCTTGAAATTGCAAAAACCTGTTTTTAATGTAGTTTTTATTATGAAATAATAATTAGCATCCTTAAATATATTCAGTCATTTCTAAAATTATATTATTACATACCTATTTAAAGAGTTTTTAAATACGTTTATATATTTTAATAGTAAGAGCAGAGAAATTTAAATCGTGGTTTTGGCCATCAGAACTTTGCCAAAACCACAAAGAGGGAAAATCCTCTATTTCTGAAAATTGTGCTTGTACCATATTTAAAGTGTGTATATATTTATATACTGCATTTACTGAATATCGTTATATTTAGTGAAATCATTTTGGATGCAAATACATCAGATACATAATCTTCTATGACAATTTCTTTTATAATCCAGGTTCAAAGAAGAATGGATACTGATGAGCACAGAAGGCAAGTATGGAAATGTGCTGAAGTTCAAACCACCTATGGTATTCAATATGGAAAATGCCAACCATTTCATAAATGTCTTGGACAGAATTCTGTATGAAGTGGAAGATAAGCTAGGATTGGTTGATAGCAATCAACCTCTTGCACTCTCAACTATGCATGAAAATAAAGTTTTGACTTCAGATAATGAGGGAGTTGTATCGGATAGTGAGGATTCCTACTCTGGTGGCAGTATTTCGGGGGATGAAGTGATGATGCCCATAAAATCTTGAAACACACTGCTAGTGTGTGAATTATGAGTCAACTAAATTAAAGTGTTGCACATACAAAATTCCAAAGAGTGTCATTCAAGCAATATGGGATATTTAAAATACAATTTTATGTATAAATATAAAACCAAAATGATTCATTATCAATACTTATTCCCTGCCAAGTAGCAGTTACGTTAAATTTCTATGAGCAACTGAATCTGTTGTGTTGATGGTGCATTTTTGAATTTATTTTAGATATAACAACAATTGAAATATATTATCCTAAGTGATATTAAACCATAAGTCCAATTTCTGATTAAAGATAATTTCTTTTCCAGAAATGTGAAATTAAGCATTTAAAGTTTGATTTCATGATGCATTCTTTTTCAAGAACACATTTCTCTTATTTTCCTCTGTGTGTGTGTGTGTGTGTGTGTGTGTTCATATATTATTACACCTTGAAATATTTATTATGAGGATGAAATGATGCATCCTAATAACTAAAACCTAGTTATTTCTAATCTGATGGATAGTTTTTGGCCATTAAAATGGTCTAAACTTGTGGTTTAAAAAGTAAATGTTTTGTTTCTTGGAAAAATTTTATATATTTAGGATTATGGATTGAATATAATGAACATTTAAGATGTTTTGGTGAGTTCAAAAATTACTTAAGCATATATGTTTATAACTTGAATAAAGAAAAAAATGTTATGTTTGTATACAGGGAAAGAGAAGTTTACTTTGTAGTAGCACTTAAATATATTCTGTATGAACATACTACAGATTATATTCTAATTTTGTAACAAGTAAGATCTGTTTTAACACCAATGATATTTACTTGCACTACAACATGTGGCCTGGCATGGCTAGGTGGTTAGGGTGCTTGACTTTCAATCTGAGGGTCGAATTCCTGCCCCACCAAACGTGCTAGCCCTTTCAGCATTGGGGTGTTATAATGTGCTGGTCAATCCTACTACTTGTTTGTAAAAGAGTAGGCATTGGGTGGTGAGGACTAGCTGCCTTCCCTCTAGTCTTTCATTGCTAAATTAGGGATGGCTAGTACACATAGCCCTCGTGTAGCTTTACCTGAAATTCACACCAAACTGCACTACAAAATATTTTAGTGCCATTCACCAAGCTGTTTCACTAATATTGTAAACAAAGCTTGAATATATATATAAACCCAAAAAAAAAAACAACCTTGACATTACAAAACTATTCTCTTTTGCAAGAAATGTTGCACAAAATTGGCACACTATAAATGGTTTTCCTTTAATAATCTTTTTCACATTGTTACTTTACATGATACTCTTAGACAAACTTCACAACTTATTTCAAATCTCCAATTCCACACCACCATTCACCTGTATTGAGAATTATTTACAATAGCAAAAGAACTAAGTAGCAAACAAATTATTTTAATGAATAAATTACTTACAAAAAATAATTTATGAGAGTATATGAGAAAAACATGAATTTTTTCCTAAGAGTTCCATATTAGCAATAAATTGTATATACTATGAAAATGCTTGAAATATTTTCATTTGCTTCAATCTTTAAAAGAGTGCTGACTTACACTATTAAGACTACAAAAGATAATTATGATTTGCAAGACATCCTCTCAGTTAACTTCACAAACACTGAGTGATGCAGCTTCTTTATATCCACAGAAAACCTAAAAACATACAATAGTAAAGAAACCACGTGTGATGCATACAACTCTGTTAGGTTTCAAAGGTTTGAATCTTACTTGACCTTGATTCACATTGTTTTTATATGTGCATCTAGTAACCTGTAAAAATTGCTTGACACACATTATACATTGATGAAGAGAAATGATTTAAATGTGAAATATGTAGAAAATATAAGAACAAACTTTGAGTATGGTGACAAAAACAGAAATAATATTAGAAAGTGTGTGTGTGTATATAATATAAACACATTTAACATAGGCATTTCCAAGCATGTTTTATTTGTAAAGTGGAACATACATGCACACGTATATTTAAATAGCTGTTGTAGAGGACTGCAAAAGCTACAGTAACCATCAATACAGTAAAACCACGGTCTGAGGCTTTATGTTCAGTTTATATTTCTGTAAGGTCTTGGAAATGTATGTTCATTGTTGCTGTATGTCTGAATTTTGAAATATATTCAGCTGTGTCGTGTTATTTGGCCTCAACAACAGATCTATGAAACACTTTATGTATGTTTGTATAAGATTGTGTATTACCTCTTGTAAAATACCAATTTTCATTTACAACTATCTTGTCTTCATAATCGACGATAACTTCAAGAATATAGTTATTCTTTGATGCAACTGCTGTTGTGAGAAAGATCATACTGTTGTTGCGTTTTATACAAAAACTATTCCTTTGAAAACCTGTTGGTGCTTCCTAGTTCTAGGATGAGAATAACAATGTCACTTTTAACAAAAATGGGAAGAAAATTAATATTTGGACACTGGCTAAGCAATTAAAGTAGGACCTTTGTGAGAAACAGTCACAAGGTCACTTCTTTAATAAAATGCTTATACTCAGCATATTTTTGGCTTGCATTGTTTCTCCACATGCTTGGCATGTTTTCTAATTTGTTAGAACCCATTTCCATATCAAGTCAGAGTGCCTTTTAGCTGGGATGATAATCTAGACTCAGTCTCGACAAGCTGCTCAACTGACATAAAGTCTAATGTTGTTAGCCAACAATAAATGAAATCACTGTCAAGCTATTGGAACCAGTTTTCAACAATATGAACATGGCATACTGTTTAAGTATCATTTTTCAAGAGTCCTTGTCCATTAGTGTGGAAATGCATCTTGGATGTTACTTGCCATTCTAATATAACCAAAATATCCAACACCTGTCCAAAGTACATTACCTGCTTCATTATATCTTGTCCAGCACCTTGTACTGTCAGAAAAACAAAGAGGGTGAAGTGGAGCATGAGGCAAAGTAATGTTCTTGGGTGGCAGGGCAAAGAACAAGAAATTCTGGTAATCGTTTCTTGAAGGTGTTGCATACGCTGTTTGAAAGTCTGGAATCTGATGTATCTAACTATGTAATCCATGGGATGGTAATATATTTCAGTTCAGAGTTATGAGCAGTCAAAAAGACAGGGTTTCAGAGTGGCCATAACAGCTTACTAGCAATGGTCAAACTAATGATCTCTCTTGATTCTTAAATCAGTTTATGCCTGTCTGAGGTTAGAGACCTTAATCTTGCAGAAGGCTGCTACTACCACTAGTATTATTATTACTGTCCTTGTCAGCAAGAAATGTATTTTTGAGTAATGCCAAGGCATTATTGGGCTTGACAGATAGATTTATCTCAATAAATGCTATTAAGTAGTCCATCATAATCACACCTACAGTAGCTGCACAGATTGCATGTTGAACATCTTTGAACCTTCCACATGCAGATAATTGAGGAAATAATAGTGATTGATGATAATATACAAAGAGTAGCAAAATTGCAGTCATGTAAAGTGGGGCTTGCAGCTATCTGCTGAAAATCTATTGAACTCTTGAAAAAAAAGATGCAACAACAGGTAAAGAAGAAAAAGACTCATGTAGTGGACCAATTGCTTATGCAACAAGAAATACTGTCACTAACTATTGGTAACTGTATATTGTAAATGTAATACCACATCATGTCTGATTCCTGCCACTGTAGTACCTCTGGTTGAGGGGGAGATCTTATGACAAATTAATGGTTGGTAAAACCAATGGTGGTCAATACACTAAATCTGTTTATTATTACCCTAAATAATATCCCAATGAATTAAAGTGTAGATGTGAAAAAATTTTCAATTCTATGGGAAATTCAACAAATTGTTTTTAATTTGTGCGAGTTTATGAGCTTTTTCCATAAACTTTCTGGAGTATTCATATTTTGAAAAGGAAAATTTATAACTTCAAAGCTGAAAATGTCTATTTTATTGAAAACTTTAAAGGTTGAATGTGAGGTTAATGATATCTAAATCTAGATAGTTTGTTTTTAGTGGAAGAGCTTGGGCAGATATATTTTTAAGGCTGTGTCAAAACAACCTTAATAATTTAGTATAAGAATATCATCTATATATCTGCAAGGCTTTACTATTGTCTTTCTTAGTAAGGTTTGTAGTGTATGAAAATTTTAGTCCAATAAATATAGCTCTGCAACTTGCAGGCTGAAGTTACCTCCCAGTGAAATTCCCTGTATCTGTTGGAGAGCATGTTGGTTAAAATGCACAAATGCGTTATCATGTAAAAGATATATGTCCTGCAAGAATTCCCTTAATGTAAGACTAGTAATTTTTGTGAGTGGGATTATCATACAAAATTCTGTGCTCTGATGCATAGTAGTAATTTATCTGAATTATTAAATGACCTTGAAATTGTTGATGAAAGACTTTTAACTTTATCAGTAGGAAGACTAGTGCA